TATAAAAGTAGACGAAGAATTGATACATTGGAAATTGCATCATATTTTTTTCTGTATGCATTATATTTTTTTCAAAATTTCTTATGGAGGCGGCCACCATTGGTTTCCGCCACTCTATTAGCGTCGGCCTCCAAAACATTTGGCCTTCAAAAAAGAACTTCGGCTGCGGCCGCCAATTGAAAAGCGGAAGCCACTGGAGGCGGAAGAAAGAACATTTTGCCGCTAAAAATTGATCAGGATGCAGCAGCCGTCTGCGGCAGAAGAAAAGTGGAGGCAAGAAGATTTACGCCGTTCATCAACACTGCTATGGACAAATCAATAAATTAGCATAGTGTTGATGCTTCTTTCCTTGAAAAAGCAATAAAAATCTGATCATCATTATTACAACTACACTATCACTATTTTTTAAACTTTAAAATTATTTATAAAATAAAAAAAATATTACAGTTTATTGTCTCATATTTAACTCTCCTAAATAAACTTAAAACACAATCGTGAATTCTGAAACATAATAGTTTACATTACTTTAACCAGGGGTGTGGAGTCGTAAAAAAAGAGTAACGACTCTATTTCCGACTACAGTTGTTTAAATTTTTTGAGTACAACTCTGACTCCAATTCCGACTCCGACTACAATTCCAAAGCAAAATTTTTGAAAATTTTTTTTGAATTCATTAAAAAATATTACGCAATAAGATAAAAAAAAATTTTTTGACAAATTTATGAAACGTTCTTTGAGGTTTAGGCTTTGAGAATGAATATAAGGATAATGGCATGTTTTGTAAATGCACGTACAATACCGAGAAGTTTTACTATTGGAGTCGGAGCTGCAATTTTATTTAGCGACTCCGACTCCAACTCCGATTCCACTAAAAATGTTGCAACTCTGCAACTCCAACTCCGACTCCGACTCCACAAGCTCTTTAAAAAAACATTAAATATACAGAGTTCTATAATATTTTAAATAAGATTATTTATTCAAAGTTATTTAGCAGGGTTGATGACACCGTGGGTACTTTTTTTTTTTTTATTTTTTTTTATTTTTTTTTTATGTTGATTTAGGTGCCCCAAGAAGTCCTTACGGTCTTATCACAGAGCACCGCGGAAGAGCATTTAATAGGAAGTTCACGCCTCCTTGCTAACCGATGTCGCAAAACTTGCCCAGAGGTGGGTTTGAACCGCGGATCTTACGTTCCTGAGGCTTGAGGCCTGAGGATTACTTTCCCCTCCCCCCCACCCACCCAACACACACACTTTTTTTTTCTTTGAGATTTGATGACATTGTATTTCCAAGATTTTTTTCGGTATCAGAGACTACTAATATTTTATCACCTAGTTTATAAATACAGCAAAGGTTTCTTTTCCAAAGTGCATAGTGCAAAGAGCATTTCAATTTCGATTTAGTTCATACTCTTCCAGTTTCAAGCGAATTTTTAAAAATCATAGCGAGCGGTAAAGCAAAGACAGATGCACATCGTTTTAGTACTATTGATTTTACCATGTCTGGTCCTGAAAATTTATATTCATTCGACTTAAGAAGTTTTTCTTTAATTAATTTCACAGTGGTTATATTATTTATTATTGCCTTACAAGGGTAAAACAAATTTAATTTTTTAGAATCAGTAAGTTTTTGTAATTTTCTTTGGCAAAAACTGACCGAAAGTGATCATTTATAATGATAACTATTTGGTTAGGTTCTTTAATTAGTTTATTATTTGATGTTAAAGCTCGGATGGTTTTTTCTAAATTTTTTTTCTGTTAATATATTTTGTAGTAATTTTGGATTGTGGGTTGATTTACTTACAAGATTATTTTCAAATAAGAGTTTTGCTTGAAGAACTTTTAACTTATTAAAAGTTGCCAGAAAACCACGTCTCTGTCACTGCAATGATATCTACTTGATATATTCTTATAGTAGCTTCAAATTTCAGCAGCTTGGTTTTTAAAGATGTGGCGATAGTGAACAAACATTTCAATTCACTTCTTTTTGTTGTTGCCGCAATACCTTAAGTGACGACTTTGTTTCCCCGATCCCATTTCGACAGAGAAAATAGTTTTTTAAAGAATTATTTAATTTAATTCGTTTAGTTTGCAGTTTAATATCTAATAATCTTTCTGCTTTAGTTTGATTGGGATTGATGAACATGTTTCCAAGTTTAAGGTTTCCTCTTAAATTTTTTGTTGCAGCTAATATTGTCCTTATCTGCTAGCTCTACGATAATTGTACCTGGTTTATCCAAATATAAAAAATGAAAACAAGTTCCGCGGGATTAAAATATAAATTTCCTGGAATAATTTTTATCAAAACATTATTAAAAGAATTATTTAAAGGATGCGCTACATAACGCTACATAACGTTAGTTTTAACCTTATGTAATTGTAATTATTCAACAGAATATTTACTAAAACTCGGTCATTAAATAGAATAACTTTTTATAAAAAAGCATATGTTGGTCTAAGCTTCTTTTCTTGCATCGAATCATAACACCACATTTAATTAAATAATAATTTAAACAATTATTAAAAAATCAAAAAGTTGTTTTCTAAATTAAAAAAGCTTAGGGTTTTATTAGTTGCATATCATAATTCTGTTTATGCTTGTAAAACTTCATTCATTTAATGTGAAATTTTTATAAAACGTTAATGCATATGGTAACTACGCTGTGTTTATGTTAAGTCTTTGGTTAGTTTGTGACTAGGTCGAGTCATAGCACACATTATTTGTCGACTGTTACATTAAACTGTTTTTAGTGATGCAAAAAGGTCATACTCTTTTAACTATTTTTTTTAAATATAAAACCACATTTGTATAAATTTAAAATAAAAAAAATTATTTATATGTAATCTTTATTTACGCTTTTTTTTTAAGTCTGATTTTCGGTATTTGGTCGAATAGATTGGAATAGTCAGCCAAATGCAGAATAGTAAAGTAGTAGCCTAATAGACCGAATACTGTATTGTCACAAATATTGGTGTATTCGAGTAATCGTGGTTTTTATACAATATATTGTAAAAATATAAACCGTATCTTAATAATATAAATTTTTAGACACGGTTTCTATTATAAAAACTTCTATTATATCCTGATCCTGCTAAATATAGTTTCAACCAATCAATTAAGCAAAACTTGCAGCTCCATAATACATTTTTTAAAGAGTATATATTTTTTGAAAACCTTGTAAACGAATCAAATTGCACCTTTACATAGACGAGAACCAATTGATGTGTTTTCTCAAAAAAACTCTTGCAAAGTATAGTTTCGACTATAGAATTTGTGCTTTATTTTATCTTTTTTAACAAATCTTTTTTTAGTCAGAAAGGTGTTTAACTAAAGTAATTTGGGTCTTATATAACTAATGCTCTTAATTCACTCCGACGGGATACGTCATCTTTTCCGCATACATAGAGCGAGAAAGGTAACGGGGATTCCGCATTCGTAGAGCGAGAAAGAATACGTAAATTTATAAAATATTTTGTTTATTCTCTGATGCTTGACTTTATAAACTCAGTAGTTTAGTGCGCTGTCATTGGTATCGTTTTGTAAGCTTTTAAATCCGAACATTAAAAAATACATTTTAAACTTTTTCAATCTGGCCGTAAATATTTTTAAAAGAAAACTATTTATAGCAAAAAGGATTTTATATGTGTATATATATATATATATATATATATGTGTATATATATATAAATATATATATATATATATATATATATATATATATATATATATATATATATATATATATATATATATATATATATATATATATATACATATATATACATATACATTTATAGACATTCACACTCGATAACTGAAATAAATTTGATGAGAAAATCAATTATCTCTTTTTTGATTTTTTGTGAGCCCAGAAATTTCAATATATATCAAGGGTTAAATTTAGTTAAAAAAAAATTTAATATAAAACAACACTTTTTATATCAATAATATCACAATTCAGTTTTTAAAAAATAGTTTAAACAACAAAATAAATTAGAATTTAATTTAAAAATATTAATCTTTATAAAAAAGCAAAAACAAGTTTTTCTACCACGGACATAATGATTTGATTTTGGAATTTATAGTGGTAATCCTACAGTGACTTTCTATTTATGTAAATAGAAAGTCACTGTAGGATTAATCTTAAATCTTTTCTATGCCTGAAAAGGTTTTTCTTGTAACGGAATATTTAAAATAATTTTAATCGTGCGACACTCTGGATTGCATGAAAAAAATTGAATAGTAATTTTTAAGTTCAGCAATCCAACATAATTTTTAGAGAGAGACAAATAACAAACGACTTGCTGGGATTTGAAGTATTGCGCACAAAAGAAACGTTCGTTTTTAATAGTTGTTTTAGCGTTTCTGATGTCGAAAACAATTTTTTTTGGGGGACTTTAATATAAATTGTTTTCTTTAAAACGAAAACTATAAAATAAAAACAGAATCAATCCCTCTTATAAATTGCTCTCCTATAAACTCACCAACTTTAATTAAACTCACCAACTTTAATAAACTCACCAACTTTAATTAAAAGCATTATTTTTAAAAAATGAGTGAGAGTTCTGCATAAGAGGTTTGTAAAATGGTACTTTAAAAACTATTATAACCGACCATTTTCCGATCTTAGTAACTATAAACACATATGCAGAAAAAAAATAATAAACAAAAAATTTTTAAATAAAATATCAGTATAAAAAATCAGTATAAAAGAAAACTTTTTTTAATCAGAATAAACTAAGGACCATCTATCTTTACTCGATTTATTTAAGGACCATCTATCTTTGCTCGATTTATTTAAGGACCATCTGTCTTTACTCGATTGGAAAAATATAAATATTAACGATAATGCAAATAACACGTACGAAACTTTTTTTTTAATTCTCTATTATGTATACAACCATAGTTGCATATTGGGTAACTTGGTCATAATTAAATCATATATGTGATGATGCGCCATTTATCTAACCACGTCAATCTTATTAATGTTAAATTTATGTTATTTATAGGTATCAATGATGTTTATTCAATATTTACGGCCGTGAACATTTTAGAGAACGGACGTGTTTATTATTAAACTTAAAAATGGCTAATAAAAGTATTTCAATTACTCATTTAAAAGAAATTATGGATATTCATGAAAACACAATAATGAAGCTATTTAGCAACAGGATTGATAAACTAGAGAGTAAAATATCAGTTATGCAAGAAGAAAATAAAAATTTAAAAGATGAAGTAAGTGACCTGAAAAAAAGTGTTGAATTTGTCAGTGACAAATATGAAAATTTACTATTGGAAATTGATGTTTCTAAAAAAACAGCAATGTCATCAGTATATCAACTGAACGACACAAAAATAAATATAGAAAATGATAACGTTATTAAAGATAAGTTGGCTGAACTTGAAGATAGGAGTCGCAGAAATAATTTGAGATTTAATGGTATAGAAGAAAAAGAAATTGAAACCTGGCAAGAAACTGAAAGTAAAATAAGAGAATTTTTAAAAACTAAATTGGGTTTAAATGGTAATATCGAAATCGAGAGAGCCCATAGAGTTGGAAAAAAAGTGATGGGTGTTGAAAGAATAAATAGAACTATTGTTGTAAAATTTTTAAGCTATAAAGACAAGAACGCGATTTTGGATAAGTTCGTAAAGGCAAAACTCTGGAATAAAAATTTGTTTATAAATGAAGATTTTAGCGAACGTACTATGGAAATAAGAAGAAAGTTATTCGCGGAAGCAAAGGAGCTTCGAAGTAAAGGAAAGTATGCTAAGGTTACTTATAATAAATTATTCACACGCGATTTTAAGTAATTTTTTTTTTTTTTTTTTTTTTTATCAATTCATAGTTATAAAATTATTTAAATTCTGAAATGGATTCAAACCAACTAAATTTTGAGTCAATTTCATATAGCTTTTTTCAAATTAATGATTTTTTACTTGATAATGAATCCGATCCTGACATAAATTATTTTAGTGAAGCAGGTGCTCTGCAAAACTGCTCTTATTTTTATAACAATGAATTGAAAGATTTTCTTAATAGGGATTTTCTTAATGTTATTCATATTAATATAAGAAGTTTAAAAAAAAACTTTGATACTTTTCATAGTAATATAGAAGAAACTTCTAATATTTTTAACATAATATGCATTACAGAGACATAGTGCAGTTCTGATGATGTTAAAAACTCAAATCTCCACCTTCCAGGTTTTAATTTAATTTCTTTAGCGCGTAAAAATAAAAAGCAAGGTGGTGGTATTCTTTTTTACGTGAATGAATACTCGCGGTTTATTAACAGGCCAGACTTAAGTATTTCTGACGGCGATAAAGAGGTTTTAAGTATTGAAATTTTAACTAAAAATGGAAAAAATATAATTTTAAGTTGTTGTTATCGCCCACCAAATGGAGTAATTGAGGATTTCAATGCCTTTTTACATAATGATATAATTAAAAAAAGTTCACATGAAAAGAAATTAAACTACATAATTGGTGATTTTAATTTAAACTGTTTTGAATACCACACTAATAATAACATTAAAAAGTTTTACAATGACATTTTCGAAATTGGAGCGATACCGTTAATAAATAAGCCTACCAGAATATCATCAACATCAGCCTCTATATTAGATAATATAATTACAACTGACGTTTTTAACTTATCTTTAAAAAAAGGTATTATTAAAAGTGACGTCTCTGATCACTTTCCCATTTTTTTCTCCATAAACACAAACATCAAAAAAATTCTATACCATAATAAACCTTTCATCAAACGTTTTTTTACGGAAGCGAATTGCTTTGCTTTTAAGGAACAATTATCTTTACTTCATTGGAAACATATAGATTGTAATGATGCTAATTTAGCTTATAATTCGTTTTTACAAACATTTTTTGAAATTTATAATATTAATTTTCCTAAACATAAAATACTAAAAGAAAATAAAGATTTCACGTCACCATGGATTACAAAAGATCTCAGAAAAAGTTCTAAAGTTAAGCAAAAGTTGTATATAAAGTATTTCAAAACGAGAACATTAGAAAGTAAAACAATGTATAAGAATTACGCTAAAAAATTTGAAATGCAAAGAAAAAATTTAAAAAAAAGATACTACATTAATTTACTAGAAAAATATAAAGATAATTCAAAGCAAACATGGCAAGTTTTAAGAGAAATTACAGGCAGTAAGAAATTGAAAGCTAGCTCTTTACCTAAAGCTATTAAAATTGATAATAAAATATTTGATGATCAAGGAGTGGTAGCTAATAAAATGAATGAATTCTTTACTTCAGTTGGACCAAATTTAGCAAAAAAAAATTCAAACATAAACAAAACAATAAACAGATGTAGTTTTCCTTTAATATCTTATCTAAATTCTTTTGAATTGTCTTTTGATGAATTTGATAGAGCTTTTAAAATGCTAAAGTTAAATAAAGCAGTCGGTCCTGATGATATCGATGGGAACATTGTCATTGATTCATATGATATCATAAAAAATATCCTTTTTAAAATATTTAAATGCTCAACTCAACAAGGAATTTTTCCTGATGAATTAAAAATAGCTAGAGTTTCACCAATATTTAAAGGTGGAGACTTACTTAATGTTAGTAATTACCGCCCAATATCTGTTCTCTCTGTTTTCTCAAAGATTATAGAGAGAATTCTTTATAATAAAATTTTTAATCATCTTTCTCAAAATAATATCCTATACAAAAATCAATATGGGTTTAAAAAAAATAACTCCACTGAACACGCTATACTCCAAATAACACAATATATTACTGAATCATTTGAAAGTTCCAAATTTACTTTAGGCATTTTTATTGACTTGTCTAAAGCCTTTGATACGACAGATCATAAAATTCTCTTTAAAAAACTTAAATATTATGGAATCTCTGGCAATGTTTTGAAGCTTTTAAAAAGTTATTTAAGTAATAGAAAGCAATTTGTTCACTATGACGTATCATCAAAATCAAACTTGTTAGATGTAACATGCGGAGTTCCTCAAGGGTCTGTCCTAGGACCTCTCCTATTTCTCATTTACATAAATGACCTTTACGAAGCATCTAATTTAATGACAATTATGTTTACTGACGACACGAATTTTTTTCTATCTCATGGTAACATAATTACCCTATTTCAAAGTATGAACATAGAATTAATTAAAATTTCAGAATGGTTTAAATTAAATAAGCTTTCTCTTAACATTGAAAAAACAAAATGGTCTGTTTTTCATCCATACTACAAAAAACATCATCTACCAAGTGAATTGCCTGCTCTTTTTATAGATGACATTCAAATTAAAAGAGTAACGGCTACAAATTTTTTAGGGGTTTTTATTGATGAAAATCTGACATGGAAAAAACATATTGAAAACTTATCCTCTAAAGTTTCCAAAAGTATAGGAATACTATTTAAAATAAGAACCATGCTAAATAAACATACTTTAATTCAGCTTTACCACTCTTTTATTCATTGCCATCTAAACTATGCTAATGCGGCTTGGGGTAGTGTAAGGAAAACTAAATTAGAACCACTTTATCGCCAACAGAAACATGTTGCACGACTTATTAATTTTAAACAGCGACTTTATCATGCTAAGCCTCTTTTAAACGAAATGAATATTCTTAATATATATCAACTTAATATTTTTAATGTATTGTGTTTTATGTTTAAATGTAGTTAAGTCTCGCACATCTCCAATTTCTTTTCACAATTTATATTCTTTAAAAGTTAAAAATAAATACAATTTGCGTAATGAAAATTTTATTCTTCAACCAGTTTTTAAAACTAATTTTGGTAAATTTTGTATTTCATTTAGAGGAGCATTTTTATGGAACAAAATAGTGTTAAAACTTTTTGATCTCTCTCTTGAATGGAACTTTTTCTTATTTAAAAGAAAATTAAAAGAAATTCTTTTCTCAGTTGAAAACATTCTGATATATTTTTAAGTTTGTTTTGTTTTTTATTAATACTCTTAAGAAATATTTTATTGTAATTTATATATACGAAATCTTTTATCTTAACTTATATATATATGTATGTATATATGTGTGTGTGTGTGTATATGTGTATGTATATATGTGTATATGCATGTATGTATATATATATATATATATATATATGTATATGTATATATGTATATATGGATATATGTATATATATATATATATATATATATATATATATATATATATATATATATATATATATATATATATATATATATATATATATATATATATATATATATGTATGTGTGTATGTATATTTATGTATGTACGTATATATGTATGTGTATTTGTGCGTATTATATGTATGTGTATATATATATATATATATATATATATATATATATATATATATATATATATATATATATATATATATATATATTGATGTGTAAGTATATTTATTTACATGTTTGTATGTTTAAATATGTATAAATAATTATATTTGTATTTATGTGTGAATATTTGTCTATGAATTATTAAAGGATTATTTATTATTTAAAAACTGTTTAGGCGGTTCTCGATGACAAGATCTTATGATCTTCTGCGAGTATCCGCGTTCTTGTTGTAACGTTAACAAAATTGTAATTCTGACTATACGTATTTTATTCATTCTTATATTGTAAAACTTATTTTGAATAAATAAAAAGAACAAAAAAAAAAAAAAAAAAAAAAAAATATTCGGTTAGAATCAATTATTTCTAGCAATGCGCATTTATTGTACACACTTAAAAAAAATGTGCATTGTACAGAAATATAGGATACGGCATATATTACATATGTTCTAAACTTCATACGTTTTTTGAATGTATATGAAAAAAAAATGTCACTATATTGCAATTTATATATAGCCAATTAGTAAATCAATACTGACTGTATATATCAAAATGGGGACATTTTTACAATGGTTTAATATTGATAACAATATTTTGATATTATTGAGATAAAAATTGTTCAAACATTGCACCAATTTTTGATACTTTAAACCATAGCTATGGTTTAAACTATCAAAAAAAATATTTATTTTAATAAAGTTTTAAAATAGTCACAACTTTATAATCAAAAAACTTTAACAAAATTTAATACTTTATTAAAATAAAAAATATATATGGTAATAATAGCATTTAAAACAGGATTATATTTTTGTTATATGAATATTTAAGACAAATATTTTTGAATGAATTCTACTTACAAAGTATTCCAAAAGTTAAATTAAATGGCAAAAAGAATATTAAAATAAACTTCAAATCCTGACTTATAGATATCAATTTTAACATGTTTTTCATCTTTTACACTTTTGTTGTTTTGTTTTTTTTAAATTTATTTCTTAGCCATGTCATAAATTGACAAACATATTTATGATATATTAGGAGATTTTATATTATTTGCGTTTCCAAACTAATAATGTTCGGTTGGAATAATTAATTATGTAAACATAGAAACTGTGTATACTCTTATTTTAAACGTTATCACTATATTAACCTATTCGATTAATCTTGTTTTAAAACAGTGAGTAGTAAAATATTCATATTAATCTTGTTTTAAAACAGTGAGTAGTAAATTTTTTATTAATTTAATAGATGAGTTTTGAAAACATTAATGTATTTTAAAAATTAATTTTTATCCAAGTTATTTTAATTTACTTTTTATTTGTTTTTTACTGAAAAGAAATGAAATAATACTAATAATTATAATTTATTTAAAAATAATCTTACACTTTTTATTTATACAAATGAATTTTCGCATTTTGCAATTTTTTTTATTTTTTTATTTTTACTTTTTTAATTTTTTTTTTCTTTTCTTCTCTAGGTATGCCATATAAAATATGCATTTATTATCGTGATAAAAAGAAAATATATATGCAAAATTATTACGTATCAGATTGATAAAAAATACTTTAATTATTAATTTTGTAGAAAAACTTTTTTTAATTACAAGTTTTTTATTTTTAAAATATGAACTGTTTCATCATTCCTTTTGCCTTTTTTTTTTTTTTTTTTTTTTTTTTTTTTTTTTTTTTTGATTATCAGCGATGGCATACTATGAACACTTTAGCTCCAGCTAACAGGGGATCTATAAACGCATTTTGAGCACACCGCTTTTCTCATCGCTCTTCGTCATACTTAGTGGACTAACATGTCATAAAGTTATCGGCTTGCCATATCGAGTGGCTGCAACTTATGGTCTACTAAGAAAATGATGATCAAAACTCCATGGAACCGCTCACATAGGCCTATTTAGATTCACTTTAAATCCACTAAAACAATGATTTCGTATATGAAAACTTTATGCTGACAAATGCATGGGATAAAAAGTTTTTGGGATAAGAACAGTTTGCAAGAGGACATTAACAAATTAGTCGAATGAACAATTATATAGCTAACGGAGTGAAAAAAAAAAGAAGAACAGGGCTATGTAGATTGGCTAAAAGAACTCTCATAACATCTATTTGGTGACAGAAAATAAAGACTGATAAAAATATTAAATAAATACCCAGTGTGACCTTGGTGTGTTGACATTAAATGGGATTATCAATTCAATGCAGCGGCAGCAAAAGCACGTACTCTGAATTATCAAGCGTACCTTTACTCATTTGAATATGGAAATATCAAATACACTGTACACAGTGCTAGTTAGACGTCACTTTGAGTTTTCCTCACCAATTGATGTCAAAGTAAAAAGTTAATGGAAACGCCTAAATTATATTTTGATTTTTGATAAATTCTTCTGAACTTTTAGCAGGTTAAATGAATTTTCGAATAGTGTAAAAAATGATGTAAATCCAACGACCCTACCTGAGATTGTTTAATTTATTGAAAACTGCATAACTAGCCCTGCTCTTCACAATGGCATTGCTGCACTATTAATAACCTAGTTTAAATGCAAAAAAAAGTTACACAAATAAAAAACTTTTATAAACGCTATTTTCATTATTGGTTAGTTCAAGATAAATTATTTAAATCAAAAAATAAACCGAAAATTAGGATTTTTAAAACTTGAATAAATCTTTTTTATTCAAAATTTTTTTTTTAGTTTTACTTTTGGTGCCCCCTACGGTCTTATTGCAGAGCACCGTGGATGAGAATTTAATTGGAAGTTCACACCTCCTTCCTAACCGATGTCGCAAAACTTGCCTAGAGGTACGTTTGAGCCACAGATCCTTTGTTTCTGAGGCAAGTTCGCTACCACTGCGCTACGGTTGCTCTGTTTTGCATTTATCTTACTGTATATTTTAAATTTATAGTAATCTAGTACTCTATTCAGGCAACACTTAAAATGCAGAAAAATACTTGAAATAAAAAAGAAAAGAAGCACTTTAAATGACGTCGCTAGTTATGTAATCATTTGTGTGTTTGGTGCAACTCCCTTTAACACTGAGAATTTACAATAGAATTTAAATAAAATGTAAAAAGGCAGGTTATATAATTTTTAATTGAAAAAAAGAAAACTATTAAAGAAAATATAGGAAACGTGTTGCGGAAAATTTATTTGACTTTAGATTTTACGATTTTACAACAACTCACACTAATCCAACTATACCACGCGCATTGAAAAAATTATTACCAAAACAAATATTAATTATATTTTCAGATAAGCTTCTTAAATGTGCATTTTATTGTTATCGTAATAAAAAAAACCTTCTTCAACTTTGACGCATTTATTATTTTTCTCATGTGCATGATCCAACCCAATTGAAAAAAACTTATTATTTATTTTGTTTACAGCAAATATGGCATTCTGAAATTTTATGCAACCATTTTTTTGCGGACCATTATTCCATGAAAATGGTCAGCAAAATGAAATAAAAAACTTTCCAAAGTTAGTTTGAGAAAATAGTTGTCGATATAAGTTATCGTTCCTTAGAATATATTTATTTTTATCTCTTTGTAAACACAAGTTACAAAAAGGAAAGGGTGATAGGTGGGTCTTGCATTTATACATAAAACAAAGAATATTAAAAACGTTCAACTCATATATATTGAGTACTTTCATATCATATAAAAGAGGCTTTACGTGAACAAAACGGTCCTTAAAATTTATAAGGCGCGCTACATGCTTCTGTTGCCGATTGAGAGGTTTAAGTTTACTTTTATAAGTGCTACCCGAAGCAATGTTTGCATAGTTGATATGGCAATGAATTAACAAATAATATAATTGAATTAAGGTATTTTTAACAAGAACGTTTCTTATTTTGTATAATATGCCTACACTTTTTAAAATTTTACTGCACAAGTTAGCAATGTGGCATTTCCAAGTACGATTTTCATTGATATATGCACCTAAAAGTCTTGTCACTAAAACTCTATTAATAACTATGTTATCGATAAATAGAAAAGTTAAGTTGCTAGGCAGCTAGTGCTTTTTACCATAAGGATGAAAAAGAATCCATTTAGTTTTATTAATATTAAGTGAGAGTTTATTTAATTTAAACCATTCGGAAATTTTGACTAGTTCAATGTTTATATTGCTAAAAAGTGTTATAATGTTATTATGAGAAAGAAATAGGTTAGAATCATCAGCAAACATAATTGTTATTAGGTTAGAAGCTTTTGGTAGATCATTAATATATATTAAAAATAGGAGAGGTACTAATATGGATCCTTGAGGAACTCCACATGAAATATTTAACAAACTAGATGATACGTTGTCATCCGCATAAACAAATTGTTTTCAATTATTTAGGTAACTTTTTAGCCAAATTAATATTTTTTCAGTAATTTCGTGCCACTTCAACTTTTTAAAAAGAATTTCGTGATCGATAGTATCAAAAGCTTTCGCCAAGTCAATGAAAACACCTAAAGTAAATTGAAAATTTTCAAATTAGTCAGATGTAAATTGTAGAGTTGCATTTCAATTTCAATTTCTTGTAAATTGTAACATGGCATGTTAAGTAGAATTATTTTTTTGGAATCCATATTGATTGCTGTATAATAAATTGTTTAAAGTAAGATGACTATTTATTTTATTGTACAAAATTCTTTCTAAAACTTTAGAGAATACAGAAAGGAGTGAAATAGGACGATAGTTACTTATATTCTCAATGTCACCACTTTTTAATATTGGTATGACTTTGCTAATTTTAGAGTTTGTGGAAAAAATCCCTGTTTAATTGATATTGAAAAAATTTTAAAGAATATATCTTTTAGAACATCAAATGAACTTATAATAATGTTGCCATTAATACCATCAGGGCCTACTGCTTTGTTAGATTTTAACATTTTAAAGGCATTTTAAAACTCTTTAAAAGATAATTCAAAAGAGTTCAAGTAAGAGTTTAAGGGGAAACATACATCATTCATTAAACTGTTAGCTAAAGGAATTCTTTTTGCCAGATTTGGTCCTACAGACACAAAATATTTATTAAATTCTTCCGTAATTTGTCTTTTATCATATAAAAATTCACTATTATGTTTAACCGTGTTTAGCAATGAGTGAGATGTACATTTTTTGCTGCCATTAGTTTCTCTTATTATAAACCAAGTGCGTTTAAAATTTAATTTATATATATCTAGTAAATTTAAGTAATAGTTTTTTTGTTTTGTTTTTTCTAATATAACTAGCTCAAATCTGAGTGTTATTGACGAAAATATAAATTGGGGAATAACTATTCATAATTTTCTCTCCAGTCATCAAAAGTTTTTTCACATCTTTCTTTTTGTGTCACGTGGTCTTGATAAGCTTGTTTAATCAAAATATGAAGAGCAGCAGCAGTAACCTAATACGGAATTATTTTTTTTGCTTAAAGCATTTATAACTCAAAACTTTGATTTTGTTTAGTAATTGTTTGTACATCACAAAATCAAACTCATACTTCCTAAAAATGAAAAAATTGACTTTAAAATTACCTGATGCACACTTCTTGTTTTTGATACATGTGATGCATTAACGCACGATTCAGCTTTCCCTGATGATGAAATCTCTGCTTCAACTAAAGCAGAACACCACCCAGAATCTTTCAACCAATCTTCAATTGTTTTAAGCGCCGTCATTATGATATGAAGTGGCGTCATCATAATGTCTTAAGCTTTTTCTCCGTAGTATTTTTTCCAATACTGCTGTATCTGTTTAGCCAAGGAATACAATGGCTGGGAAAAAGTAATGACAGGTGTTTGAACTTTATTTAAAAATTCAACAGCTGCCATGATATTATCTATTCCATGTTTGATCATGGCAGCACATTTTGAAGATTCTCGTAATAACGGCAGCAACGCCAAATAATTAACTACTTTGGCATTTATCTGTCATGCATGCTAACTAAGTTATATTAAAGCTGTTTTTGAATTTTTCCCTTAATAGTGGTATATCTACAGCGTTGTACAACCATCTGAAATAAAAAAAAATTATTTATATATAATTCCGGTTAACTATATAAACATATAATATGAATAAGATTATGTGAAAATAAGTCTTACATTTTCTCTAAGTCTATTTTGGGT